GGGGAGGTAGAGAAAGAAAGAATGGAGAGATAGAGAAAGGATAGAAAGAGAGAATGAGGAAGGAGAGAGAGGAAAGAAAGAAAGAAAGAAAGAAAGAAAGAAAGAAAGAAAGAAAGAAAGAAAGAGGAAGGATAGCTTGAGAGGGGAAGGAGGAAAGAGAAAGAGATAAAGAAGACCAGAGAAAGAGGAAAGATAGAAAGAGAGTAAGTGAGGGAGAGAGAGAGAGAGAGAGAGAGAGAGAGAGAGAGAGAAAGAGAGTGTAAGGGAAGGACAGTAAGGGTGAGGGTAGTGTGTGTGTGTGGAAGGAAAAAACATACTTTACTTTGAATGTAAGTCAATGGAACGAGAATTTTTTCATAGTCATTTTGGGCCATTTTTCATGAAATTTACACACACTATATATATATATATATATATGAAAATGTTCTGAAACACATTTTAGTGTTTGGAATTTCGGCATGGATTGCAATGTTTTTGAAATATAATTTAAATACATAAAGTACAAGTCCATATATTTTTCTTTTCCATATGGGTCGTTCACAGTGGTGGTGATGGGAACCAGACGTCTCAAGAGTTAAATGCCTCTCAAAGCTCCTTCACAGAAAGTTATTACATGAAATGGTTATGAAGGTCTGACACTGAGTGTGTTTACCTGCACTCAATAATCTGATCCTAATCAGATTTCTGCAGTTATCTGATTATTCAAATGGTTATCTAAACAGCACACTCTGATTTCTCAGATTGGAGTAAAGTCTTGAAATCTGATTAAGAAATCTGATAAAGAGAGCTGGATTTTAGCTCAGTAATCAGATTTCTCAGTGCATGTGAACTCTTACTCTGATTTCTTTCGGATTTCTCAGTCGGCGCATGCGCGAAAACAGACAGCGTTCCCGGAATTAAGCGAGCAATGCTTTTTATGAAATGAAGGATTTAAATACTCTTCATCGTCTAGATGATATACGTTCATATTTTCTGGTAAAGTGGCGTAACTTTTTTTTTTATATATTTTTTTTAAGCCGCAGCATCAAGTTTGAGTTTTACATTATGTTTACTTCACGTCGTCTTCTGTGAGTTTATTGGCTGGTTGCAAAGCAGAAATCTGACTACTGTCTGACTCATGCAGACCCAGAGTTTGCCCATTATCTGATTACTCAAGTGCATGTAAACGTTGCTGACCAAATCTGATTTTCTGCAGTGATCGGATTATTAAGTGTTTGTAAACACACTCATTGTTTTGAGAAAATATTTGTGTTGTGGACATGGTGACCCCTGGTTCCTATCACCACCCCTGTAAAGAAATTTGAGTTTGTAAGTTTCTCTACCACAAACCATGTGACATCAAATCACTCGGAGTGACTGAATCATGCAGAAGTTTGTACGAATCGGTTCCCCTTTAAGTGTTTACAGAGACTCAAGACTGGAGTGAGGCTGGCACAGTGTTGGCTGTTTTACCTTAAAATGAAGTGGTGTTGGTGTCAATATCACATGAGTCCTGTCCCTGATGACCTCCCAATGCTCTGCCCACAAACACATTCTTTTGTAGGTTACTTTTGTGTAAGATTTAGAGGGATCTATTGGCGTAAATGGAATACAATATACAAACCATGTTTTCATTAATCTATAATCACCTGTAACTACGAATCACTGTGCTTTTGTCCGCTTAGAATGAACCCTTCATACGTACAGATAGAGCAGGTCCGATTCCAACAGAGGCCGCCGTGTTGCGCTGCCATGTTTCTACAGAAGACTAGAACAGACAAACCAAAGAATCAGTGGTTGCTGCCGGTGCTAGCTAACCTTTTTGTGTTGAAAGAAGCTGAGAACCCAAGTTTTGACAAATGTACTATCTATTATTTAGCACAGGAAAAAACAAGGGAGGGTGAATCCTCATCGTCAGAGAAGCGTAAAAACATGAAGAAACAATGACGCCCACCGCAGTTTCTACTACATGCTTGGAAAGGGAGGGGCGAGGGAGGGGTATTTATTTGGATGCAATCTGCAACCTCACCACTAGATGCCACCAAATCTTACTTACTGCACCTTTAATGCAAATCTATCTATCCAATCATGTGTATGTCTGTCTGAATATCTGTCTGTGTGTCTTTCTCTCTCTCTCTCTCTCTCTCTCTCTATATATATATATATATATATATATAATCACTTGTATGCCTCTCTGTTTATGCTGTTTGCTGCACCATCTTAAACAAATGAGACAAAGCCAGTGTGCTGTTAAGCTCAACTGACACATGCACTGTGTCTGTCTGCCAGTCTCTCTCTCTCTCTCTCTCTCTCTCTCTCTCTCTCTCTCTCTCTCTCTCTCTCTTCTCTAACCTTCCTATCTCTCACTGAGGGTAGACAAGGTCAGTTGCTGTGTGTTCCAATCATTAAATCAGGCCAAAGTCAATTACTCACAACCAAATTCACTCGCATGTCCGCTCACGTTCATTTCCTAAATGGACGTAGACGTCTCAAGCAACTGGACACTGAAAGGGGGTGAAAAGTGCATGAAGTATCTGACGTTGCAGTTGTGCCACACCTTAGCTTTTCTGATGAAGACACACTCTGCGGTTGCTTCCTGTACAGTACAGAGCACGAAATCTGCTGGACAGTAAAGGGTGTAGATGAGCAGGAATAAATGACAAACTGTTTGGACATGCAGGCGTAACAGAGCTGAGTTTGGTCCAGATGCTGAGGAGCTGTAAACATGTCATGTATGACGGAGTGACCGGCGCGCTCCTATTATTCTGTTTTGGTCAGCACATGAACGTGCTCTGCTGAAGCGCTTTCTCCCCACTGACCTCACCCTGAATAGAGCCATCAATCAGAGATGAAGCCTTGAGGATGGACAGAAAGAGAAAGGACAAGGCCCTGACCACACACATACACACATACATACACACACAACCACACACACACACACACACACACACACACACTCAACACCTGACTAATCATATGTGGAAGCTGGCTTTTCCAAACAGTCCTGACACGTTAGAGGACAGACTTACTGAATGCCTTTACATCTGACCATCTGACCAACCTGGTGTTATCTGTCTGTTTATCTGTCTGTCTGGCTGTCTGCCTGTCTGTCTATCTATCTATCTATCTACCTATCTGTCTGTCTGTCTGTCTATCTATCTATCTATCGATCTGTCTGTCTATCTATCTGTCTGTCTGTCTATCTATCTGTCTATCTATCTGTCTGTCTGTCTGCCTGTGCCTGTGTCTGTGTCTGTCTGTCTGTCTGTCTATCTGTCTGTCTATCTATCTGTTGTCTGCCTGCCTGCCTGTCCGTCTGTCTGTCTGTCTATCTATCTACCTATCAATCTGTCTGACTGTCTGTCTATCTATCTATCTATCTATCTATCTATCTATCTGTCTGTCTGTCTGTCTGTCTGTCTGCCTCCCTGTGTGTCTGTCTGTCTGTCTATCTATCTGTCTGTCTGTCTATCTATCTACCTGTCTATCTATCTATCTGTCTGTCTGTCTGTCTGTCTGTCTGTGTCTGTCTGTCTGTCTGTCTATCTATCTATCTATCGATCTGTCTGTCTATCTATCTATCTATCTATCTATCTATTTATCTATCATCTGTCTGTCTGTTTATCTGTTTGTCTATCTGTCTGTCTATCCATCTGTCTATCTCTCTATCTATCTGTCTGTCTGTCTGTCTAATCATTTGTATGCCTCTGTCTGTCTGTACGTCTTTCTCTCTCTTTCTAACTATCTTTCTATGTCAGTCTATCTATCTCTCCCTCTTTGTGTATCTCTCTCCTCTCTCTCTCTCTCTCTCTCTCATTAGTCATTCATCTAAATCAGTCGAGTTATTATTATTACACTGCTCTCTGTTTATGCAGTGATGGTTGTTGCCCCCTCATGCAGCTACATCTCCTGAGAAATAGCTCAGTGGTCAGTACGGCTGATGGTGCTGAGCTGTCCAGTGCTGATCGATACGGCTCGTCACAGCTGTGTGTCCAGCCGCAGACTGCAGAGGTCACAAAGGAGTCCAAGCACAGCACATGCAGACACGCATACACAGTCCAGCTGCTGTTTTTTTGCTTACGCTCAATTATTGCATTAGTGCTGCCGGACGCAGGAGCAGCACGGCAGATGAACTCAGAGCTTATTGGATAAAAGCTTTCTGTAGAGTCTACTTTCCCCCTAAATTCATTAGGAACACACAGAGGAGCCTCGAGGTAAAGCCGTGTGTTTTTTAGGCTTCATTAAAAATATCATCGCCGTCGCAACAAAATTTCCAGAATGATAAATATAAATATGTTCCTCACTTTTAATGCGTGTTAATGTAAAGAGATGTGGAGCCCTTCTGTTGGTACAGTCATCAAGAAATGCTTACACAGAGTAAAGGCCAGCTAGCACTTTCAAAACATGCAAAATAATAAATAATAAATAAATAAAAATGCGTTATGAGATGATATGACAGTGAAGATATACAGGCTTGATTTAAAACTGATGCTGTATGTGTGTGTGTGTATGTATCTATCTATCAGTCTATCTATCTATCTATTTATCTATCTATCTATCTATCTATCTGTCTGTCTGTCTGTCTGTCTGTCGGTATCTCTTTCAGTATACTTCTATATCTTTGTCTCTCTCTCTCTCTCTCTCTCTCACACACACACACGCACATATACACACACACACACACACACACTCACGCGCACGCTCTCGTTCATTCAGAGCTGGAGGTGGGCGGGCCTGTGTCCTTGCTCCTCCTCCTCTACACTCACTGTGTGCTGCGCGGGGCGCGAGCGCTTCATTCCCGCTGAAGCGGTGGCGCTGCGCGAGGAGCCCGTGAGCTCCAGGGCTCCGCGTCCGCGCACACACAGAAACGCGCGTGTGGGGATGCTGTAGACGGAGCACGCGCCGGAGCGGCACGGAGGCGCGCGCGACTCCAACTTTTAAACCACGCACCTCTTTGTTTTTAATTGTTTTCTTTTCTTTTTCAATTCTGGAACATCAAAGTGTCCTGAAAAGGAAGAGCCATGACGACGGCCACGGCGCGCGCTTCTCCATCACCTCTGCTCAACGGGACAGGCCAGCACGCGACAGACGCGGAGGACTCCGCCGAGGCCGGGTGGCGCGCGCTGCTGCTCTTCGGCGCGTCGGTGGCGGTGGGCGCCGTGGTGTGCGCGGGCGGCCTCTACTCGCTGGCGTCTGTGCCGCGCATGCGCGCGCGCTCGCCGCTGTGCCTCATCGTGGCCTGCCTGTCCGTGGACGACCTGATCGGCGTGGTGCCGCTCGCGCTCGCCGCGGTGCTGCAGTGGAGGCGAGAGGGGCACGGCAAAGACGGCGATGATGACGCGGCCGTGTGCACGTGGGCGGGACTGTTGTACGTCTTCCACGGGCTCGCGAGCAACATGAAGGCGTGCCTCATCGCCGCCTACACGCTCTACGCGAGCAGACGGAGAAGAGGAGCGCGAGGAGCGCGAGCAGGTGCAAGAGGAGGCGTGCCGTGCGCGCTCGCCGCCGTGTGGGCCGCCAGCCTGGCCGTGAGCGCGCTCCCGCTGGGCGGCTGGGGTCGCTTCTCGCGCGCCTCTCTGGGCTGCCTGCCGGCGCGCGACGGCTTCTACGCGCCGCTGCTCGTGGCCCTGTACGCGCTGTGCGCGTGCGGCTTGGCCGCGTGCTCGGCGCCGCTCACGCACCAGCTGCTGTGCTCGGCGGACGCGCTCAGGCCGCTCTGCCGGTGGGAGGGAGGAGGGGGCGGGGCCGCAAGCGCCGAGGGGCCCGCGGCGCCCCTCTGCGAAGTCGCCTCCGTGTCGCGCGAGAGCCTGGAGAGGAGCTACGGCGAGCTGGGCTCCGGCGCGGCGGGCTCGGAGTGCGGGGCGGAGGCGTGTCCCTGCTCCAGGGGCCAGTTTGGCGGACAGGGGGTCCGGCACTGTCCGGTGGTCTTCGCGCAGAAACGCTTCTCCATGATCCTCGCCATGGCACGGATTGTTCTGTGGATGCCAATGATGGTGAGACAGATTGACCAAATGGCTTTTTCTGGAGACACTTAAAGGAAATGTCCAGTGGCTTTCCCCAGTTTTTAAAGGGGAATTCCACCAATTTTTTTAAAATTAGTTTAACAATTAATGAATGTAAACAAAGTCATTCAGAGTGGTTTGGTGTGAAATGCAGTGCTTTAGAGTAACTAACAGAGTCTAGATTGTTCACGGTGGTGGTGATAGGACCCAGACGTCCTCTCAAAAGTGGACGTCCCTCACAGGAAGTTATTGCATGAAATGGTTACTAATACGCTGCCCGATGCCTGAAACATTAGCCACGTTCACATGCTGCCTAATCCGTCAAAAATTCAGACTAATAGCTCAATTGGAATAGAATGCGTCCATGTAAACACCTCAATCAGAATAGTCTAGTCTGATTGAGGCCATTCGGAATACAGTTTCTGTCCGATTGATCGAGGTGGATAATCCTGTAGATAATCTGTTAAATAGAAGAATAATATCTGTGTAAACGCCTGTATCTGATTACATTCCCTATCTGAAAGTTTAAGTCTGTTCTGATCATGTTCGAAGTTTATGCTCTGGTCTTTAAAAGACGGCGGTGGGACGGACGTCCATCTTATGTGTCTCAGAACACGACGTCTTCCTCTCGGCCTTCTTTAATAAGGACATGTGAAGGACGTTTTTCTGAGTCTGACATCATTTTAAAGCAATTAAACACACACGCACTGCTCACTGCTGCTCATCTCACTCTGACTGGACTCACGTGATGCTCGTTGTCATGGTAACGTCTACACTAAATGGTTCTCTACACGTGCGTTATTTTGGATGGGATTACTTGTAGTGAGCATGTAAACAGAGATTTCATCAGATTGTCTTCATCTATAATCAGAATGTATTCAATCTGTCTTTAAAAGGTTCTGGTCTAAAAAATTTTTTTGAATCCATTCATGGTGGAGGGGTACATGCAGAGCATTGTGAGGCAAAATAGTCCCCAAAGAAATTCATTTTTTCAGATTTAAGACTTTTACCATCAACCACGTTCCATATAAACACTCAGAAGACTCGTGTAGGTTCACTGGTGGTTTTGGATAGTAAATAAAATGGCTATATTTGTGTTGTAGACAGTGTGACCCCTGGTTCCTATCACCACCACTGTAAAGAAATCTGCGTCTCGACAATGGACCACTTCACACCAAACCACTCTGAATGACTCTTTACATGTGAATGACAGAAATATTCAGAAACTTTGAAACACTGGTGGAATTCCCCTTTAAGTTCAGAAACAGTTTTGGTGAATTTTAGTGTAGAAGTGTGTCCTCCGCATAGTAACACATGGCAACCTTCCACAGGCTTCCATATGGCACAGAATGTGACTGCAATACTATAAAATGGGTAAATAATAGGGTCCTAAAATCTGGCTGAGCTGCATTCGGATCACTAAGAAACAAATTCGGTCACTAAAAAACATTGGGCCTCATTCACAAACGAAGAAATTTGCACCCAAAATGACCACTGAGTGTGTTGATATTAGGCCCCTTTCACAAGAAACACAAATATGTAAAACTAATTATTAACCTATTATATTACAGATTTTTAACCCCTTACAAGGTCAGGGCCCAAAGATTTATTACACACTTCTTTTACCTAAGAGTAGCCCAACCAGTTTGCATACACTCATCAAAAAGATGGTTCTTCAAGGGTTCTTTAGTAAAAAAAATGGTTCTACATGGAACCATGAGCGCTCAAAGAACCCTTTGCATGATTAAAGGGTTCCTTGCACACTGAACTAGTTCTTCAAACTGATGGAGAATGTGCTGAATAGAACCTTTTTGAAAAGGCTTCTGTAATGCACCCAAAAGGGTTCTTCTACTGTTACAAGCTTGACACCGTAGACGATAGAAGAACCCTTTTGGGTGCAATATAGAACCCTTTTTTTAAAAAGGTTCTGTGTAAAACCATTTATAACACATTCATGCACAAGTGACAGAAAGATAAATAACAGAATTGTTCTGTGGTGCTTTGCTCTGTACCCTGCTGGGTGACGCTAATGCTAATGTTGCTAGTTATCCGGCTACAGGTGAAACCCACCGCAGAACAGGCTGTTTCAGTAACAGATGCTCAAATTACATCCGTGTAGAGGACGCCGAGAGACTGGAGTCGGAGTGACAGACGGGATCAAACGTGTTTTGTGGTGGGAGCTGCCTGTTAGTGGTTAGCCACTCATTTGTGTAGTTTTCTTGGCTATTTCCTGGTACAACTGCGGCAAAACAGATGGAAAAAGAATGGTCCAGTACAGCCCTGATGGAATGGAATGGTCCAGTACAGCCCTGAGACCCATTTGGCTCGATAGTGGAAAAGTGGCCTAAGTTTCTCCTGAGGACCCAGAGCGTTACAGTAATTGGCATCTATTGATTTGCCTACATTTGGCCAAAAAATATCCAAAATCTAAACCCACTGACAGGAAAGTTCTTTTTAAAACCCACTTATGGAGTTTTTATGAAGATTCTGACATTCACCAATGTTTTCTTATTTGGGATTTGATCTTAGGTGAGAACAGAATCTACCCACACTGAAGAGCACAAAGCGGTAAACAGTTCTGCGGTTTAAGAACACGTCATAAATCTGACGTAAACCTTTTCTTAGGACATTTCTCAAGAACAAACTTAGGAAAAAAAACAGAAGATATTGGTGAATGAGGCCCATTGTTCTTGCTTTTGGTTGAGTGTAGTTGGCCACCATGTTCTTAGTCAGTCCAGGACTCTTATTTTGAAGGACTCCGGGGGGCGTAAGGCAAGCTTCAGTAGCCTCGCTGGCTAGCAGGAAAACAGTAGAGCCTGAGCAGCCTGTGTGCTGCATGTTTCCCCCTTTGCTGCAGCTATTTTGAGTTGAATTTCTATTAAAGCTGAGTTATCGTCGACATTTCAAGGTCTCAGAGTGTTTCGTAGTTGGCCATTTCGCCAACTAGTGCAAACAAGCAGGCTTGTAATGGTTCGTGCTGATAATGTAATAATGTCACTCTGGCGCTGCATGAATGAGGTATATAGATCTGTTCCGTCATCACTGCTCTAGCAATGTCTTTATCACGGACACTCATATCGCGATAACGATAAAAATACCTTTTATCGTGTAGCCCTAAGGGCGAGTATGAAATAGAGACCGAAACGTGACCCATTAAGGCTGTGATAATCAGTCACTTCCAAGCCATTTCCAAGCTGCTCTGCACTGCCAACATTCTGATTTAATAACCGCAACGTCAGAATCACCACACATACCATTTAAATATCACAGCTGTGCTGTGATTTCAGCTATGTTTACATGTAAAATGATCACTCAGAGAGAAAGTTCGAAGCGACACAGCACACAGCCTCCGACTGAGTAACAAACCACGAGAAGGATGTTCCATTTTAGTGTGATAGTGAGTGATAAAACAGTGATTACCATCAAAACAAGCCGGTTAAATTGCTTAAATTGAAGCAAAAGAGAAGCAAACAGTGCAGATTAGAGATGGGCCACCTGGCAACGCTGCACACGCCCAGCTCATTCATGTCTATGTGAGCTGCCTTGCAGATTAAATGTGCTGCTTCCCCACTCGGCTGCTCACTGAACAGAGTAGGTGTAGAGAGAGGTGGGCTTCTTGCTCACTGGACAGTACTGTCCACTCTCTTCTATGGAAAGAGCTAAGGTTTGTCACTGGGGGCTTTTTTCCAAAGTTCTCCCCAGTTTAGACATATCCAATTCCACCCACTAGTTAGTTAGGACTCCCCCAATCACATAGAACCACCAAGCTAGCCACTGCATTTTTTTAAACCGCCATTAATGCAACGCCATTGGACAGCTGAACACGCTTAGAGGAAAGCGCCAACCGCCAGTTCTTTTACATCAGCTAACAGACGCCTACGCTGGCTAGGATTGGGCTGGGTGAAGGGGGGGGGGGAGCATCCTACACCCCCAGAGAGAGCAAGGCCAGTTGTACTCTCTCAGACTCCCAGTCACAGATGGTTGCAGCATACTTGGTGCTTTTTTAAAAAAAGTTGCTAAAGGGGTCTGAAAAATTGCTTAATCTAGGAACAGTTGCTAAGTTGGCAACATTGGGCAGAAGCATTGTTTACGGCAGTTCTTATTAATAGTGAATTGTTTATTGAAAATGTGTGTACTTCATCAAAATCTACGTCACCATGTTAGAAAAGCAGTAAGCTATGTGAGGGCATGTCTTACAGTGATTTAACACAGGTAATGGACTATCACTCTGCTTTGTGATGTGCCTAATAACAACCCTTACTTGTGATAAACCCACAGTAATGCACAACATCAAGTGACTCATGGCTTCATAAGAAACACTAACACATTATTAAGGCAGTGATAAGCAGTGATAACAGAATGTATTGGACTATTTTACTGCACTGTGCTTGTTTAAATGTAATGGCTAGTGATGTCACCACTTTCCTTCATCTTAGAAGTTTGAACTCAAATACCTCAAAGGCAAATTACTCACAGTTCTCACAAAACCCCAAGAAAGTAATGTCACTGGACTGTTTTTGTGCTCGGGGTTGTACAAGGGAATGTTGAGCCTAAACTGGATGCAGTTATATGCCCTGTGGAAATCTATGAGAGGTCATTTTTGTACTCTATCTTACTTTAGAAGCTCTGAAAATAAGAGAAAAAAATTCTGAGAAAAGACATTAGAAATTCCTTTAAGAATACTCTCGGGTGGGATTCTCGACTGATAATTAGAAACGAGACAGTATTGAGTGGTGTGTTAAGATGTGTGGCTGTGAAAAACTGCACAGCACTGTTTTAGGTTCAGCTCTCAGTAGGTTATTCAGCAGTTCTTTAGACTTTTTCGGTCCAAATATTGGTGCTCCAGGGCCTCTTTGCCACGTTTTTGTCAATAATATGCTGATTATGAACTATAAACTGGGGGCTTATAACTTATACAGATGTGTAGCCAGCTGGTATGTATATGTTCATTAATGTAAAGTTTCAACACAAGGTTGCCACATTTCTGTTATAACCTTTCTTCCTCTATTATCTTCATGGCTGCCCTTGTAGGCCCAGATCCTGGTAAGCCACACTGTCCAGATGCACAGCTCGTCTCTGGAGACGCTTTGTTTTTTCCTGACCTTGCTCTCGGCAGCGGTCACCCCGGTGTTCGTCCTCTCGGAGCGCTGGATTCACCTTCCCTGTGGCTGCTTCATCAACTGCCGCCGGGGCTCCACCTCCACATCTATCTCTTCCACCTGTAAGCATTTACGTAGTTCGATTGAGGCCTACAAAACATCATTTTTAGCAAGACTTTATTCTTGGTTTGTCTTTTCTGACAAATTTTCGAAATGTTAATTTCTTGATTTGGAGCTTGAGTGGGATCAATTGTCGGCGTAGATGGACCCTCACAGAGCAGGTACTTTTTGGGTGGTGGATCATTCTCAGCACTGCAGTAACACTGATGTGGTGGTGGTGTGTTAGTGTGTGTTGTGCTGGTACGAGTGGATCAGACACAGCAGTGCTGCTGGAGTTTTTAAACACTGTGTCCACTCACTGTCCACTCTATTAGACACTCCTACCTTGTCAGTCCACCTTGTAGGTGTAAAGTCAGAGACGATAGCTCATCTGCTGCTGCACAGTTTGTGTTGGTCATCCTCTAGTCCTTCATCAGTGGTCACAGGACGCTGCCCACAGGAAGCTGTTGGCTGGATATTTTTGGTTGGTGGACTATTCTCAGTCCAGCAGTGACACTGAGGTGTTTAAAAACTCCAGCAGCACTGCTGTGTCTGATCCACTCAGACCAGCACAACACACACTAACACACCACCACCACATCAGTGTTACTGCAGTGCTGAGAATGATCCACCACCCAAATAGTACCTGCTCTGTGAGGGTCCATGGGGGTCCTGACCACTGAAGAACAGAGTAAAAGGGGGCTAACAAAGTATCAGAGAAACAGATGGACTACAGTCTGTAACTGTAGAACTACAAAGTGCTCCTATATAGTAAGTGGAGCTGATAAAATGGACAGTGAGCGTAGAAACAAGGAGGTGGTCAGAATGTTATGCCTGATCAGTGTATACTGCCACAACTGTTTACTCATGATTCACAGAAAGATCCAATTTCTTAATGACGTACTTCACCACTTGGCTTCCATCAACACTACAAAGACACTGATGTCTGTTTATCTCTGTTTTATTTATAATGCAGCTCATACATGTTAATTGCATTCAAACTGATGCTTCACAACTTGCAACATGACAAGTTGATGATTCATGTCCAATGTATGAAACACAGGGGGTCCTAAGAGGTCCCTGATTCCCTAATCGACCTCCTGGACCCACTGAATCTCTCAAAATCACAATTATGAGGGGTCCCAGAAAATGACATAACATGATGGTATGTTGTCTATCAGGGAAAAATAGATGCTGAAATACAAATTGAGGGAAAGGCCATTGTTTAGATGCTTCACCCACAATCAGTGAGGTTCTTTCTTCTTAATGCCTCAGGGTGGCTTCATAGCCTACCATCTGTAACTACGCCTGGGATACCTCTGAAAAACCTCTGAAAAGCTGCCCAATTCCCCAAGAGATTGGCGGAAAGAATGTATTGTTACTTATTTCTCAAACCGAACACAAAAGAGATGTGTACGATCCCAGTTATTGTGAGGAAAAATGCATTACTGCACTTTTTTACTGCCCTACATTCTACATTTATCCCTACCCCTTGTTTTTGAGTATCACCTTGCCCCTTGAAACTGAGTTACAAGGGGTAGTGGTTAAAATCTTCCCTATAAAATGGGACCCTCAAATATAAAAGAGCATTACTTCATTAACAGCTATTAGCGCTGCTCTGTAGGCGACTCTGCCCGCCTGCAGTGACAGCAGAGGAGGGTAAAGTTCAGCTCCTCACTGCTGGACTTTAGTCAAATTTAGGGCTTCATATGTCTTCAAAGAGGGGGGCTGCGACTGTGATTTATTATCACCCACCCCTAATTATTCAGTGATATGAAGCTGATGTCAGCGACTCGCCAACTTCTTCTTCTTTGAATTTCCCCATTTCACCTTAAATGGTGCAGCAGTTCTGAGTCCTAAGGCGGCAGAATGTAACTGCACCATTTAAGGTGGAATGGGAAATTCAGCTAGCAAGCTACATTGAAATTAAACTAAGATAATACAGTGGTTATTGTAATCTTTTAACGGAGAAAACACTTACATTTGTGAGTAAGTAAGAAATACTTACATTTCTTTGGTCACTTGTGCAGCCATCTTGCCAGTTTTCTTTGTTCTCTTAAGACTTCATTTGGAAGGTGCCTCTGAAAAATCTCCGTTTGGAGGGCCACATAGCCCTAGCACTCTGCCCTACCCCTCTATCTCAACAAAGATCAGGACACCCTACCCCTAGACGTGTCTGCACAAAATGGAGGGGTAGGGCTAAGTAGGGGCGAGGGGTTAAATGGGACTGGGCCTTAGCCTCGTATAACAAACCTAAAGTATGAAACCTAGGTGTGATCTCAGACTCTGAGCTCTGTTTTTTCCCCACATGTAAACGTAGTCACTAAAGTAGCTTTTTATTATGGGAGAAATATCGCTAAAGTTTGGCCTTTTCTATCTCAGAGCGATGCAGAGAAACTTGTTCATGCATTTGTTATAAGCAGAGAAAACATAAAACAGTCCATCCTGTATGAAATGCAGCAGCATGAATCTTAACAAAAAAGCAAATAAGAGAGCTTATATCACTCCTGTTTTGAAAGAACTGCACTGTATCTTTCAGGATAGACTTTAAAGTTCTGCTCCTAGTTTTTAAGGCTCTAAAAGACCTTAAAAACCTGTTTACATCGCAGAGTGTCTGTTTATGATCTTAGATCTGCAGATACTGATCTTCTGCAAACGCCTTCTGTAAAATACAGAAAATGTGGAGAGACTCTTTCAGTTATTCTGCTACTAAACTGTGGAACTCAGTTTCACCTTTTAGTAGACACTCAAGCTCATTGCGCACTTCAGAGGCTACGTTCACACAGCAGGTAAAAAGTCTGATTTTCTCACCAAATCTGCTGTTTTTTTCTAAGCTGTTCACATTATTTCTGTATCTATATATCAGTCTGAATAGATCACACTCCTAAACTGACCCGCATGCACAAAAAAACAATGCTTCATGTGGCTCATCCAGAGGTAAACAATCAAAATGGAGTCAACAGTGACAGCCACTCACAGGGGCTTCGGTTGCATCTTCACCCGCATCACAGGAGCTAATAGGAAGTTCCACATTCAAGGGCACGTTATTCGGCTGCGGCCACTCCTTCAGTTGCCGTCCTTGTTTTCTTTAAACTTTGCTTTGCCTCGTTCTCCTATGGCTGCTTTCGGCCATTTCTTTCCGAATCTCTTCGAACACAGAGCGATCTGGATAAGTGTCTTCATCACCCCAAATGTCCCCACAGTGCAAAATTATGATGAATGTTGAGTTGGACTGACGTAAACGTCACATGTATTCCTATTGGATACGTATCGGATTTTAGTACCACATGTTAAAGGTTACGTTCACACAGCAGATAAAAGTGACCCAAATCTGATCTTTTTCTTCATATGTGACACAGATGTGTTCTCTATGTGTCAGTGTGAGCAGATAAACACACTGAATCTGAAATGTTTCAATTCCGATTCGAGGCGCTTTCATATGTGGCGCTGTATATGATCCGTATCCGATCTGCGGCAATGCGACTCAGTCTGAACAGCCAGATCGGAATTCATGTGACTTTTACATCAATCCAACTTGACATTCGTCATAATTTTACACTGCTGAGACCTGATAAACATGGGGGGGATATTTCTGTACAACAAAATTAGAAGAGACATCGCAACCGCTCAGTGTTCGAAGAGATTTCGAAAGAAACGCGGCCGTAGGAGAACGAGGCTGCAGCGTCAAAGAAGTCTGAAAGCAAAGTTTAAAGAAAGCAAGGACACAAACCAAATAAGTGACCGCGCCCTTTTTACGGCAAGCTTGAACACATTTTGAGTGATGAGCCCAGCTATCAGTATGTGAAGCTTCATGATGGCTCCTGTGTTGCTGGTAGCGACTGGCGTTCGTCGGCAGTCGTGATTGTTTACCTCTGGATGAGCCACATAAAGCAACGTAAAGCATTGCTAATTCACTCATGCGGATCAGTTTTAGAAGCGTGATCTGTTCAGACTAATGCCACATACAGGTCACATTTATAAGATAATCTGAACAGCCAAACAAAAAAATCGGGTGAGAAAATCAGATTTGGGCCACTTTTACCTGCTGTGTGAACGTAGCCAAAGTGTCCCAAATCGGAATTGACATTGTCCGATTTCAGTATGTTTTTTGCTGTTCACACAGATGACATATCTGTGTCACATATGAGGGAAAAGATCGGACTTGGGCCACATTTACCTGCTGTGTGAACATAGAAACGTGTGCAAATGGACCTCTTTAATTTAGCATTTAATATAAAGTCCTACATCTCTTTAGTATTTGTCTTTCTAATTTGATCTGCCATTGTCTACAATTTGAAATGAATACTTATCTCCTGTCTGTGAAGCACTTTGAGCTGCAACCAGTATTAAAAGTGCTCTACAGATAAAGATATTATTATGTCTTGAGAAGTTGGTGAATTTCGACATGCACATTGGCATCCTCGACCAATAGCACTACTACTCTGGCTGAGTTGAGCTCTGAAGGGGTGACTCTTTATACCAGTGAACCTCCAAACCAGAAGAAACCCTTTTAACATTTCTTCCCCACTAAATTAACACATGAAAGAGAGACTGTGTGATACACAGTTAGGCCTCCAGGTGTTTGCAAATGATCAAATGATCAATTTTTACGACTGAAAACATATGAGTGCTGCATTGTGAGACGGTCAGAGATGTAATTGGATTGCTGATGAAGGTAATTGCTTATGACAGAGTCAGGAAAAAAAAGAAAAAAGGTTGAAGAGACATATAAGCACTCTATGTGTGCAGTGAACCACAGAGATGGAGGACAAGCTGGTGGAACTCTGGCAAACGCATGAGTGCCTTTATGATTTATGCGCCAGAACTTCAAGGCACTGACTGTACCATTTAAATTCAGCTGCCAGTTCATAAGAGAACATTGCAGATCTTGCTGCAGGCTACGCAGAGGATGATGGCCGCATTTTCCCAAACACATCTTCATCCACAGTTTGCGTTTCTAATGTACAAATGAAAATGCAAAGTCTGGCAAGATGCATGTCAGTCTCCATTGTTAATTGTCACTTGATAGTGAGATTGCGTTGCCTGCCTCAAGATTCAGAATCTTTTTGAAGTATATGCCATATTCAAAAACCTGTTTTTTGATGGGTGCCTTGATTGTGAAATGTTAAACCTTTTTATAAAACTGTCTTTGCAGCCCACAAAAGGAGATTCGAATTCAACCTGTCCTTCCAGCAAGGCTACGGCATCTACAAGATACCTCACGTCACGTCACCCTCCGTTGAGAAGCCCTCCTACAACAGCCTGTACAACTGCGACTTCTCCGAAAGCCGGATTGCAGTGTTGGACAGCGGTCAGATCGCCAACCTGGCCGCTCGTGAGCTGAGGAGTCCGGGGGAGGCGGAGGACTGCTCTCTCCACAGTGAGCTCCTGCTAGATGCTGTGTCTGCCGAATCCAGGAGAGAAGGCCTGCCCCAGCTGAGCTCGGGAGAACGGGACGGCTTTGGAAGCGTCTCACCTCCTGTCTCAGCCTGTGATGGGGAGGACCTCAACCTGGACGCTTCCTCAGTGTTTGATGGCCCTGAGAGGAGGCTGTCTCACGAGGAGTGCCGCAAGATCGAATTGACGGACTGGGAGTGGTGCAGGAGCAAATCGGAGAGGACACCAAGACAGGTAGTGATCTATGCTTTAGAATGTGTTATTGCAAAGGTGCCCAAACATAGTCCTGGAGATCTACCACACTGGAGAGTTCAGATTCAGCCCACAACTGGCTCTAGATGCCCTTGAAGGTCTTCATTATCAGGATCAGGTATCTTAAATGAGGGTTGGAGCTAAACTCTGCAGGGTGGAGGATCTCCAGGACCAGGATCGGGCACCCCTGTGTTATGGTGTTACTTTCAATAAAATATGAATCAGTAGCAAATGGCTATTTCTAATAAAGTGGCTGGTAAGTGTAGCGTACATGACCTAAGAGGTAGAACTAATGAAAGGCATAGGTCAGTGGTTCTAAATCTAAATCAGGGACCCACAGATTTGCTCATCTTACCCAATCAATCAAGAGCCGAATACCTGGTGCAGATGTGCTAGGAACTGCGATATAGTGAAAAAGTGAACCATCTGGGGGTCCCCAAGGGTTCTAATGAAGCAGAGAGTGGGTATATTCCATGTGCTACAGAATACACTTTCATATTTCAGCCTTCAATCATTTATGAAACTGGGTTGTGAATAAGTTATGGGTCAAGTAAAAAGCTTTGATGTAGATTAATATATCAAATTATGTGTAGTAAATTACATAAAACAATTGCCTATAACAGCCAGTTATATCCAGTTGCTTGGAAGCCCTGACGCAAACGTGACGTCATTAGCGGCCCCCTGTCCTGCTACAGTACATGCACATGCCTGTTTTATCTACTGGGTAAAACCACCAATTTTTTGTCCAGGGTGTTTTCTGCATTGCACCCAATGAGCGCTGGGATGGGCTCCAGCAGCCCCCGCGACCCAGCAGGATAAAACGGTTTAGATGATGAATGAATGAATAAATTCAAACCATCCACCATCCAGTGCTGAAGCAAATGCTAGAAAAGACTGCAAGGCTGGTCACCAGCAAATCCAGCAATGGCAGCTTTACAGGAGAAGGCAAAATTATTCTTTATATTTCAAGAAGCAATTTGTAAGATTTTTCAGTTTAAGATATTCCAAAATTAATTGAACTAATCAACAGAACATGAAGAAATAACAGTTTTGACGTTATGTCAAAGACATATATGTACCTTGTTGCAGAGCCATCCTCTGAGGTTAGCATGCGAACCAGCTAGCCCCAGGCTGTCCTGTCTTGTAATACCACTTTAATCCCCACAAGGCGGTAGTGAGTCATTGTAGCGTTGAGTTTGTCATCAAGATGAGGGGATGAAGAAGTAGCCACCCACTCCTGGCAAGAAACCACAGAGAAAAGAAGTGACAAATAGAAGCAAAACAAGAGTTAACATTGCCGTTGCCACGAGTAAAGGGATGAAATTTGATGTTGAACTCATGATATTTCTTCTAGACTAGTAAGTAAACAGGGGGAGGAATGAAAAGGGAGGAGGAGGGATTGTATGAGTTCAAATTCGCCAGGTTGATATTTTATTTTTCAATTTTAGAGCTTCTATTGGTCCATTAATCATGAAACTTTCACACAATAAAAGAACAGCTTTTCTTTCTCAAATCATATCTCAAAATGAAAATGGAGATTTTTTTTGTTGGACAATGACAATGTGTTGGGTTTTGGATGGATGCTGATATGTGGTCAGCAGCACTGGAAGTTAATAAGCTGGTCACCAGCAAAACCAGCATATGTTGTGTTTTGGATGTTGGTATGCTGGTCAACCAGCGTGAACATGCCGGGTGATGAGCTAAAGCAGCACCAGACCGGCATAAACCAGTTTTAACCAGCATGGAATACATGCTAGTCTGTGCTAATTTGGAGCAGGGGCATGAGTAGACCTTGTCAAGCTCTCTCATTTGTAAAATAGCACCACAAAGTGACCGTTTCTCATGGAAATATACGGTCATTTCCTTCATAAGCATGTCAAAAAAGCCCTCTACATAAGACAAAATATAGAAGTGGACTTTCTGTACATTCTCATTCAAAAGTGCCGTCGTTGCTGTATTTTCCCTACTAGCTTGTACTTATTGTTAGCATCATTTGCATAGTTGGCTTAGCTACTACTTGAAACATGAGAATTCTGTTGGATCTTTGCGAAGAGATTTTTGAAGTGTAGATTTTAGCTCATGAGGGTGAGGGCTACTGAGGTCAGTGGGCTGTGATATGCTGTCCATTGATCTGGCCAGTTCATGAGCGAAATGCTGTGTTAAGGTGACGTATCTCTCACATGCATTCTTTCCTCCACATTTCCATTCAAATGCATTTTCGTGCTTCTCACACCCCCCCACCCCCCCCCACACACATGTGCATCCCCCCACACAAATGCAAAACACACTTATTGATTCAGGCCGTATGTAAACACATGCAGAGGAACATTAGTCACGGACATATCAAGTACGTGTTACCGCATTCTCTCCCCCCACCCCTCTGTGTGTTTTCCATGGCATCATGGGAAGATGGCAGAAGCTTCACAACTCAGTGCTGCAGCCTCCGGGGATCATCTTCCCCTTTCCTTCATCCCCAAATCAGAGAGCTAGATAGTGGGAGGGAGGGAGGGAGGGAGGGAGGGAGGGAGGTGGAGGAGGCTGTTAAGTGCCACACGCACACCTTCTCCTCTCCCTGCGGCATTCCGGCCTCTGCGCACCGCCGCAGCCCCACTTACCCCAATCTATTTCCGTCCACCATACAGCGCGACTCTGATTAATACCCCTAATCAAACCCACTGCAGGCTCCTGTCTCCTCTCACTAAATTATGATTTGATTAAAGCCTGCTCCCTAAACTCAGAGATGAGTAAGTAAAGGAGCTTCAGAGAACTGACCAGCACTGAGCTATAAATGGACGCCAAGATGGATGTTTTAAGGCCCTGTAAAGCTTTGCTTGATGATGGACTTGATTAATCTGTCTTTCCTCCTTTCCATGACCATCACTGCAAAAAGCCATGTCTCGGCAAGTGGACACATTGTAGATCTAGTCAATATGGCAGCTATTTCTTATTTTGGGAATGTAATTAGAATATTTTGAACTAATTAAACTAATTTAACTAATAAAACAAATATGTGACAAGGTAAATAAGAGCATTTCATAAAGTTACCGTGGTGATTAGAGTGCTGGTGTCTTTTTAATGCTGCAGTTTTATTTTACTGTCCCAGACAAGAGCCAATCAAAATCTACATGTAAACGAGGTCATACATGTTAAAGACCCACACCAAGGGAAGTTTGGGTTGTCTGCCAAAAGAAATGACAACAAAGAAAAGCAGAATTCTCAGAAACTGAGCTACAATGTAAGGGAAGAGGTTCTGACAAATAACAGTAAATTGTTTGGTAAAGATGCTTGTAACTTTTAATCAAGAAGCAAAATTTCTTTATCAGAAAATTCAGCTTTTAATTGTAGGAATAATGTTTTAGGAAGTAAAATTGAATTTCCCACATTAACAATAATAATAATTAATATAATAATTAATAATAGTAGTTTTACCTTTCATTTTCTCAAGCAAGTCTTTTTCGCCTCTGTTTTCCTGTGATTTTATGTATTCAAATTAGATGGAAAATTTCCATACAGTTGAAAGTTTAACTTTTACTTGTGGTATTTTTTTGAGTGTACAACAGCAGTTAGAAGCTTTGCCATGTTGCTCTGTCCAAACAGATCAAAACGTGCCTTAGACAGACAGACAGACAGGCACGCAGGCAGAAAGACAGACAGATAGATAGACAGACAGACAGACAGACAGACAGATAGATAGATAGACAGACAGATCGATAGATAGATAGTTAAACAGACAGACAGACAGATAGGTAGATAGATACATAGATGGATAGATAGACAGACAGACAGACAGACAGACAGATAGACAGACAGACAGACAGACAGACAGACAGATAAACAGACAGATAACACCAGGTTGGTCAGATGGTCAGATGTAAAGGCATTCAGTAAGTCTGTCCTCTAACGTGTCAGGACTGTTTGGAAAAGCCAGCTTCCACATATGATTAGTCAGGTGTTGTGTGTGTGTGTGTGTGTGTGTGTGTGTGTGTGTGTGTGTGTGTGTGTTTGTGTGTGTGTGTGTGATTTGGTGCATATAAACATTGTAGAAAATGTAATTTAATCTGCATCGGCTTTTTACTGGAATATTACTGTCAAAACGATTTAGGTGGTATTTTTGCGGGACATTTTCCCTAAAGTGTAATAATCACAAGCACATCTGTTTTCTCTTTTTTTGTAGACTTTCCAGCATTTATTGTTTGTTTTAGGACCCATTAACAATACATTTCTACAGAAATTCATGCAAATTATTCTTTTGCTCAATATGAACTATAAGCCTGTCTTTACATGGTGAAACTTTCATGCAACTAGTTTGCCTGATGTGAGTTGCCTGCAACATAATTGCCAAGTAACTTGACAGTCACACAAAGCAATTCAAAAACTAAGTTGCTCACGAAACATTGTTTACTCCACTAGTTAGCCATATTAGCAGCTCATATTTTTTGACACACCATATCATTCTCACTGTAAAGTCATCCACAAAGGAGAGCTGGATTTTAGCTCAGTAATCAGATTTCTCAGTTCATGTGAACTCTTACTCTGATTTCTTTCCGATTTCTCAGTCTGTGAATGTGCAAAAATAGACGGTGGCTCCGGTGTGGCATCCGATTCGGTGTCTTCTCAAATTCACATTCCCTTTTACAAATCACACACATCACTGAGCAGAAATCAGAAAGTGAGAAAATTTAAGAAACGCTGTACGGGTAAAACATTTATAACAACAAAAAAAGCAAAACTTTATAACAACATAACAATCATCCATGTAACATTAAGATTTCCTGAACTTTTCAGCTTTCCGTAGTTCCAGTGCTGTTTGGCATTGGCATTGGTGAATGCCTGACCCTGAGGGCTTGATTTGTGAAGGAGAACATGAATTTGAAAGAAAACTGAATCAGATTCAGAAATAAGCAAGCAGTGTTTAACATGGCAGCCGCAAAATGGGAACAAAACACTTCTGGAGCGACGCTGAAACCAAATACATGCTTGAC